ATTGATCATCATAGAACAGAACCAACTTGTTTAATTGAAACAGCTGTTAAGATTCAATAATTCCATTTCTCATAAGGTTAACATGGGAAACTCCAGAGCCACTGGGGCGGAGCCCGAAAGGATTTTTGAAATAAGAATATGCCTATATGTCAATCGGGAATGTGAGCTATCATCATGCCAAATTTCAGCCCAATCCGACCAGTATTTTTCGCGTTCACTTGTCACAAACATACATCCATACATACATCCAAACTTTCTCATTTATAATATTAGTAGGATTTTAGTAAAAATGTAATCATACAAGTTGAAATTCGCTTAGTATGCAGGTTTGCTGCTGCGGGGGTATTCTATATCATCATGGTCGATGTTGATATGGATTTATTTATTAGATTGATTCATGAGAAACCAGAACTTTGGGATAGATCTTTGGAATTTAACAAAGACAAAAACAAAACGAGGGAAAATAAATAATTCAAAATAATTTAAAAACTTATTTTCGGCATTCCTCAGGGCTATAAAAATGGAGTATAAAATGCTCCATGGAGCTGTCTGTTCTCCAGAATCGGATGAACCCAAATACTTCAGCGGTGTTTTCTCTTTCTTCTGTGGTGGATCAAACACAGCACGGGCATTTTGAGGTCTTGATAGTACCATTTCTGAGATACAACTGATTCAGAGTTCATTGCACTCTATTTATTGTCGCCGGCTCCGGCAAAATAGTTTTTCCCAGGACAAGTGTGTTCTGACCCTCACCCTACGGCGGTTCCGCCGGATCCGGCGTCCGGCGGTTTTGCCGGTAAGTGTGTGGCCATAAAGCCTAATATGGCCTAACAGAGAGACCACAATGGCCAGCAGTGCTGGCCGTACGACCTGAGAGGTACCATTCGAGGGCATAGGGTTAAACTAAAAATTGCTAAAATAATACCAGTCTTTAAAAAGGGGGATGCCCATGATCCCTCTAGTTACAGACCAATATTGCTACCAGTTCTTTTTCAACAATCCTTGAAAAAGTTGTATACAAGCAGTTGTTGGATTCTTGGAATCTAACCAGTTGCTGGATCAAGAGAAATATGTTTTCCGACCAGGAAAATATACAACCACTTCTAGCATTAACTTTATTGAATCAGTTGTCAACTCAATTAAGTTAACAGCAATGAAAAAGTTATTGGAATATTTTTGGTTTGTTCTAAAGCTTTTGATAGTGTGTCACATGATAAATCACATGAATCTCTTCATGGCCTAAATATAAATCATAAAGAATATAATGGTTCAGATCATATCCAAACAATCGGAAACAATGTGTTCAAATTTGACATACCTCATTCTATCCAAATTGAAAATATGCATACTCCCAAGATGTCTTATCCAACTTTAAAACAGTAAAGTAAGGTGTCCCACAGGGATCTATACTGGTCCCTTGTTATTTCTTTGCTACATAAGGGGGTTTCCAGGAGTTGTAATGGAGGATATTTATGTCTATATGCAGATGATACAAATATAACAATTACAAGTAAACTAGTGGCTTGTAGGGGCAATAGCCCCTATATAAAAATATTCTAGTAATTATTTTGTACAAATTATTAGTCTCATGGGTCACCCTACCTTTAATTAGGCCTATCGTTTTTACATTTTTCTATATTATAATATCTATAACAGTTAATACATACCTGCATAATGCATTTTGATGTCTGTCCTATTTAAAATAAAAATTCGAAAGGACTGTTCATGCAGTGTGTTTATAATATAAACTTTCTAATCATGATACAACTAAGGAACATTTTAAATAATAATCTTCATGACTATTAATTAAATATATATATACTTTTGTTTGAATATAGACAAATTCACTTAGATAAAACACATAGAGAGAATGCCATCCTCCAAATTTAAAATGCTAATTCTATAACAAAATCTCTCTGAAAACGACATTTGTTGTATAGTATCCATTTTGGTCGCTTCCTTGGTCTTTATTTGGTTCTAGTACTATTTTAACATCATCCGGCCGCTTTACCCGACTAAAAGCAACATAAAGTTGATCATGAGTAAACACTGGGTTTTTTCCAAATAAATGCCAACTTTTGTGAAGGTTTGGACTTGCGCTTTATTTATAGTACCAATAGCAGAAGCTAATCGCAATGGGAACTGAATCCTTGTAAACTTAAACGACATATTAGGATCTGTAGACATTAGTTTTATTTTTGGCATGATAAATATGTTCCCTTTGCCTATTCCAGTAATTACATCTAACTTTACACTTTTTTCAGACATACCTTACACAACCAATTGTACTCCATTAACTAATCCAGATCCTTAAAATTGGGAAAAAGTATATTTCAGGCTTTATAATAGTATACTGTCGTGGTGGAAGGTTTTTTCCTTCCACCCTGTATTACTGTACTGTACATATTACATATTACCATATGCTTTAAATAAAGTTAAACCACATGTTTTTAAGTAAACAAAGCAGACATGACCTAGATTCCCATGCTATTTAAATGTGAATAATTTTAAATTTAAATTGAAACCTCTCCCAGCTTTCTACGGCCTTCCGTTTGCTCACAATTTCATTGTAAAATTTTGGGCTTACGGAATTAGATAGATCTCAAAAAGAAGTGGAACTTAGGTCTTTTTTTAATTCATTGTCAGTAAATGAATACACAAATAACGAAAGTCTACTAATAAATTCAAATAGGCCTAAGTCAAATATTTTATCTTTTTCCACAAGGCAATCAAGATTAAAATTACAACCAGATATTTATCTTAACGGTTCAAAATTAAATCAAGTGGATCACACTAAATTCCTTGGTCTAGTATTAGACCAGCATTTTACCTGGGATAAGCATGTGGAACATGTGGTAAAAAATCTTCAGCGGGTCTTTATGCTTTGCAACAAATGTCCTGTGTCTCAAGCATTGGAATTCTCAAAACTATTTACTTTGCTCTAATAAATTTACATATAGCTTATGGAATAGCTTTATATGGTGGTACCACTAAAAACCTACAAAATTCAACCTCAATAGGAAAAAGCTCTTAGAATTATCTTTAGTACTGGTATAAATAACTGAAAATCAGTTAGGAGCCGATATTTTTCTAAATTGGGTATAATGACCATCTATGATTCATACATTTTTGAAACCATTCTACATGTAAAAAGTTCAGATCATCAAACTACCTCACAATTTCCACAGTTACAATTTACAAACACCAGGCATGTAGAACAACACCTGATTGAAGTTATTTGAGAAAAATCCAGTTTCATTGGCAAACAAATTTTATTTAGCCTACCCAAAAATATTTTCAATGAAAATAAATTACAATAACTTAAAAAAAAAACTACTGAAAAACTATTTTTAATCTTAAATCATTATTTCAATAGAATAGTTTTGGAAATTAAATAATTAGAAATATGCTAGTAATCTTTTATTTAGGATACTTAGGCCTTAATATTAGCCTACCTAATTTTTTGTTTCTCTTTTACTTTCTGTAACGCAATTCATGTATTTCCTGTAAAAATACTATTCACCACACTATGATGTTTTTGGCTGTATTACATACGTTAATTGGTGGCTGAAAGTTACGTTTTGCTGGCCATGCCAGCTGTCATCGTAATTTGGGGACCGAGCAGGTTTTTACAGCCGCTTACTTACGAAAACATGAATGCATTTAAAATACACAATCAAAATCCATAGCATTGCAATAGAATTGTGTTATTGTCACCGTTGCTTAGCAACTATTTATTTTTATTTTTGCTGAGTGCTCAAATTATTTCTTCACATAACCTTAAAGTTGTAGTTGTGTTGACTATCAGTGAGCATTATTATAGTGGTGAATAGTGGTACAGTAGAGTCCCGCAAACTCGGCTCTCGATAACCCGGCAGTCTGGATAACTCGGCCATCACCTGGCTCAGAAAATTAGTGATTTTTAGAGTCCGAGTTAAAAATGGACTCAAGCCAAATCGTTCGCAACTCATACCAAGGATTTGTTGAACTATATCTGATGACTTAATACTGACTTGTAATAAAAATATAAATAAAAAAGGCAGTTAAAAAGCTTAAAAATTGTATTGTTCTTATTTTTAACCCTAGTTCCTGATAACCCGGCATTTCACAAACTCGGCACCCTTCCAGTCCACATTACGCCGAGTTTGCGGGACTCTACTGTAATAGGGTATATAGTGTGGTGAAAAATAGCGTTCGTAACACGGACCGAAATGGTTTTGCAGCTCTCGATCGATTTAAGTTCTCGACTTCGTCTCAAACTTAAAAACTATCTCGAGCCGGCAAAACCACATTTTCGGCCCTAGGTACGAAATATACTATTCATGAATAAAGATGATTTGTATTGTAGGCCTAAACTAGCACTTAAAAAACTTTAAATCGCTAGACTTTTTAAAAATTATAACTTAATTTCTATAAAAACTAAAACCCTAAGCTAAATTTATAGCTTTGACCATTTCCTGGCTGGGTGCCTTTCCTTCAAAATTATCTTTCAACACAAAAATCATAAGAATCCGTCAAGAGTTGTTTATTCCGAATCATGAAATAAAAATACCCTGTCACATTTTAATGTATAAGATAATAATTACTGTAAATAAATGGTGTGAATGTAAACCGTAATAATAAGTAATTTCTATTATTAACATAGAACTATTCCTATTTCATTATTTATTTAACTTTTTGTTAAAATTAAATCAGGTAAACTATAGCCTACTAAATAGCAGGGGGCAATAGGTTTTAACAACAATCACAAAGGGACAATAGTCCATAAAGGGTTGAGAACCACTGGCTTTAGACCAATGCCGGATTATTGAATGTGTCTAACCATCAGATGTAGGATTAGTGGGCTGTAATTGGTTCACACTTCTCTGGATCATGGGAATACTTACTAGCATTTTTATTTGTCAATGCACAGCAACATCCTCAACTCCCTCATATTTTTTCTTATTATTAACATTTGATTTTAAGTATAACCTTTTACAATAACATTATTTTTTTTTTAGTTTTTATCAAAGTCCAGAAATCCGAAAGGACTTGATATCAAAGTGGACATTTTCTAGTCACTGCTTGCTGGCCGTATCTACAGGTGTGTATAACTTTTCTATTTATATATCAGATTACAGGTAATAATAAGTGTAAAGCCACCAGACTTTTCCATTGATACTAACTTATACCTTTTTATATTTTCTCTCATCCGATTCATACAAAAATTTAATTAAAAAGGTTTTTGGTAAGCACACACAGTAGCATGGGCGCCCACAGGGGGTGCAAGGGGCTGCACTTTATTAGTTTTCAATGTTGGCCCATAAAAACGATAACTTTTACCCTCAGGGCCGGATTTAGTTTTCAATGTTGGCCCATAAAAACGATAACTTTTACCCTCAGGGCCGGATTTCCCAATAGGCCCAGGAGGCCGGGGCCTATGGGCACAAACTCCCAGCAGGGCCGGATTTAGCATTTTGGCGCCCCTAGGCCCAAATAATTTTCTGCCGCTAGCCTGGTCACAGTTAGGGCCTACTTTCCTTCAAACCTTTATTAAAAACTATATCATGCCCATAGGCCTAAGTTTATCGCTTGAATACCACTCCTCGTCGGAATATTATCATTGTAAGTTTTTAGGAGCAATTTTACTTACAATTTTACAATTTTTACTACAATACAATTTACAATTTACATACAATTTACAATTTTACTACAGTACTTTTATATGCTTTAATAGTCAATGCTTTTAGTAAATGCTCACGTTTGTGGGACTGAAACAAAACAACTCAGCCCACCGAGCATTCTTTAAAAAAAACATGATTCCAATTGCAGGCCCAAAACCATGAACTCCATACGGTAGGCCTACGTGAAACCATCAATATGGGTAAGCTTAAAACAATTCTTGCAATTTAAACCTAGTTTACCCAAAATCAAACGATCTAATCATAAACAATAGGTCGTCTCCTGGTTATATTAAAACAAAAATTTAAAATTTAAAATTAATTTAAGAAATTAAAACACACATTATAGAACGATAGAACTAACAACTAACCCTAAAGTAATAGAAACAAAAGTACGTCAAAACTAACGTCCAGTGTCACCAACATGAACTAGACATAAAAAAAATTGAATTAACAATGGGAAGAAGTCAACTTGAGTTATATTTAATCTATGGTGGTACTGCATCTTGGTTATATTTCCAAAGCAAAATATTCCAGCCAACCGAACCAATCGTTAGGTCTGAGCTGAGGAGAAAATTACAGCAATAATGGTGCTTTGAAGGTTATTGAATTTTTCTAAAACCTATTGCAAACTGAGATTAATATTTTTTCGTTAATTTTAAAGATAAATTCATCATTTTTTAAACATTCAACACAATGTTGTAAACTAATCAAAAGAAAAGTTAATAGCTTTTGTTTTGCGAGGTGAGGGTGGTAACGGTGTCTAGTACGCATGCGCCCCTAATCACTCCGATCATAGTAGCGCCGAGCCAGCCAGCATAGTGGCAGTTGACAGTGGCAATACGATGCGTACCGCTCGAGCGCTCTTCAACATCCCTACGGCCTACTCCCGTACAACCAATGTTCGTTACCAATGTTGTAACAAAATTGATGCGTAATTCTGAAAAATAGTTTAAATTTTCTAACAATTATTTCTTCCTATGAACTTCAGAATCAGAATGCTTTATTAGCCAGAATTTTTTCATCAACTATGACTATTTTTAATTTTTAGATATTAAAAAAAAAATCCTTTCGGCCGTGCGCCCTCTGGAAGCTTGCGCCCATAGGCCCGGGTCTATTGGGAAATCCGGCCCTGACTCCCAGAGGGCGCACGGCCGAGAGAAAAAAATATTTTTTAATATCTAAAAATAAAATAAATAGCCATAGGTTAACATATTTTGCAAGTTGATAAAAAAAAACTCTTGCCAATGAAGCATTATAATTTTGAAATTCATTGGAAGAAATTGTGACGCAAAATTCTAGGGGGGGAATAAACTAGTATTCACCAAGTCAGGCTAGGCCTACTCCTAGAACCGGCCACACTCGAATTTCTTCCCCGGGTGCTCAGAAGGAGCCGAGAAAAATCCAGGGGTCGATACGTAGTTGTCCTGACTTTGACTGATCAATTTATTTAAAATTTAATCGAAGGCTCAGAGCTCTAGAAGCGCTCAGGAAATCCTGCAGACGCCCAGTTGGAGCTATATCATCCCAGCCTTCGTTAACGTGTTGTGGAGAATTTTGCCTAACTTTTAGAATGACTCTGTAGGGCCGACGAGTATTCAATCTGAAGCCAATGTGATTCAATTACTCGTAATGAACTTTAAAATAATTAACTAAAGGCCTAGGTAAATAATATAGGATGTAATATGACGTAAAACCCAATCCCTACAGAGTCTTCGGGGCCTAATTAATATAATTTGACGGATAATTTAACGTGAGTGGTTTAAAATAAATTTAATATTAATTTTCGTAGCTGATTATTCAACTCAGCCTGCTCCCAAGACTCGATTCTTTCACCCGCCAAAGACGGGGTTTAGAACTCGGACGACGAGTCTCGGGGTATTAAAACGTCGAATTAACTGGAGTAACTTGAGTAATAATTAATCGTGAAACGAAATGAATTAACGTAATTTAATAGCCAATTGGTTTAAAAGAGCCGAAAAATATCCACCGCTAGTCACTGGCAGGCAGGAACTGGCGGGTTTTGTGCGAGTCGGCGAAAACTAAGTTAATAAAATTTAGAAATTTAAATCAAACTTAAACGTATAAAAAATAAATGGCAGACGAGTGTGTGTATGTTAGAAAAAGAATATTTAAAAGAAAGTAGGAAAGTCTGAAAACGTAGCTAACCTGAATCAATATCGTATGGCGAAGTTAGTTTCTTTGCGCGAAGAGTCTTCTCGTGAACGAGTTGACGGTCGAACAGCGAATAATTCTTGTCCTGCTCAAATCCCGATTTCCTCGGCCGCGGCTCAAGCGCTGCGGTGGCGATTCCGGAAACTAGCCAACAGCTGACCGGGGATTTGGTCTAGTTATCGCCTGTCATCGTCAATCAACAAACATCAGTTTTAGGTTATGTCGTCGGCGGCGTTAAATATCTGTAAAATCGGCCGGTTTAACTTTATTATGTGAAACGAAGTGCTATTATGAATAAATATGTAGTTGTGGGTGTGTTTGTGTACTTCACTGTTAATAAAAATAGGCCTACGTTCTTTGGCCCATAACCCAAGCTATGGCCAACACATAGGGCTCGGAGTAGGCTATTGTGGTTAAAAATCGGGTAAGTTCTGGTGTTCATTTATTCGTAGTACGTTTTTACCCTTCTTAAAAGATTAATTAAGATTAATTATAATGTGAAATTTGTTAGCAGTTCAAGGAATACATGTAAGGCTGCTTGGCAAATAGTAAAATCAGAAAGTGGGGATTTTTTCAAACATAATAACACCGTTCCACCTTTTTCAGCATATGATTTTAATAACCATTACATAGATGTTGGAAAAAAGGTAGTAGAGAAGGCTCATGTTGAGCAAGGTAGGAGTTTGGATTTCTCTAATTTTCTAAATAATGCTAATCGTTCTAGAAATAAATTTTCGTGGAAATTGGTAACAGAGAATGATATGAAAAAAATAATAAGATCTCTTAATCCATCAAACAGTGAAGATGCTTACGGTTTTTCAAACAAAATTGTAAAATTCATAGCTCCTTACATTATGGAACCACTGATTCATCTTGTTAATATGGTGTTTTCTACTTCAACCTTTCCAAATTGCTTAAAAATCTGTAATTCCTCCTCCGAGAATCCGTCCTGGAGCCGATTCTGATCTTTGAGTAGATGGATAGAATGAAACTAACCACTCAAGACCATGGCTGATTTTCTATGGGAAACAGTTGTGATCGCACCAACAAAGGGCTGTCCACAGGGCGTTGTACTCTCACCCTTACTGTGGAACCTTGTGGTGGACGGTCATTTATGTGAACACACTAGTAAGGGCATCTTTGTCCAGGGCTACGCAGATGACGTAGTCCTCATGGTACAAGTAAAATTCGCCATTGTAGCTGATGTCATGAATATCAACCAACATGTTAAAGCATGGTATCTCAGAGAGGGATTCAACATTAAACTCTCCAAGACAGTCATAGTCCCTTTCACCAAGAAAAAGAACTTGGATTCTCTTTCCAGGTTGAATATTGGGCCCTACTCAGCTGGGAATGTCGAATACAGTCAAGTATTTAATTTAGGACTGACACTTGACTTTTAATTTCTATTTAAATTTCTATTCTATCTGTCAGCATGTTTCCTAATTTCTATTGCTTCTTTCTTTCAAAATACTTATCCGAATGTGCCAAAACTTTTACATTATCAAACTCTATTGCATGATTAGTTTGGAAGGAATGGTCAGCAATTGCCGAATGTTCTACATCAAGGAGTTTTGTGCATCTTATATGTTCTTTTAAATTAGGAAACATGCTGACTATTTTAACAAAGATAACGGAATAGATTTAAGTAATACGTGGAACCCTATTTTAAGTAAACTGAAAATACAGTGCAAATGGATATTCAACAGTCCCCGCTCGCCAGAGAAAGCCAAGAACATTCTAGAAGCGGCCGGAGCCCAGTGGAGCTAGAACGGAGTGGAAAGTTCCAGAACACCCCCACCACCATCAAGAGGGTATAACCTACGAGCCCGGCCCACCCGTGCCAGTAGAGTTCTGTGACCTGGGTGATAGTGCTCGCTCGCCCTGAAGATGGCTGACTGTTATGTGGCCGAAACGTTGGTAGTTTTTGTACATAGTATATGTGACAACCCTGGAAGCCTATCCATGAAGATATGTGGTGTATAGTTAAATATAGTTACTATTGGGTTTTGCTTAGGTTGTAGGAAGTTGAAAAATATTTTTGTAATATTCCTGTAAGGGCAGTTTTGACCAGAGGTACTTCAGGAAACAAGAACATAATATTATTCATATCTTATTTATTTTGTTTTAGGAGATTAGACCACCAAAGTGAAGTGAAATTATGATACAACTTTTATTTTCAGGTTATTTCATATATGACATGCTTGACATGATGATCAACGATCCAAAGTCCAAAACTTATGAATTGATTTTGCATCATGTGCTTGTGAGTATATAAAGAGAAATCACTTTATTGATCATTAGTTTGTAAGCGTCCCTGTTGAAGCAAATATGTTAACTTGGAAGAGCTTGTGAAAGTTGTAAGGGTTGTTTTAATGTCTTATCCCTGGAACTGTCTGTTAGATTCTCTAAAATGCCAGTGCATTTTGCGTGGTTGAATTTAACAATTAATACAAAATATTATTTATAAGTAAATTATATTTTACTGTAGATTATTTGTTTTTGGAAGAAATAAGAGACTAGTATTACCTATGTTACTTGTGCAATAAAACCGAATCACAATATATGAACTCTATATTAATAGTTGAATAAACAATTTTCATACTGTGTAAATCGTTTAAGGGTCATAAAAACCCCATAAATGACATATTTTTCATTATATAAATTTTGTAGTAAATCTTATATATATATTTTTTAATAAGTTTTATTTGTTGTAATCTCCCATAAAAATGTCACCAAAACACATAAGTCAGCAGACAAAGTAAAAAGAGTTCAAATACGCCAACCCAACAAAAAATATAATGGCCGAGTTAGCATGATAGCCAACATCTTCAATTTAACATCCATGCTTAAGATAAGCCAGTCTGTAGATTGTGAGCGCTCATTACCCTATGTAAAATACTGGATTGATCATTTTGTGACCAATGGCACTATAGAAAGGACATAGATCGGCCAAATAATTACCGATGTGTAATTTTAGGGTTAAACAATATTTTATATTAATGGATGCTTACTAAGCTACAACTAGTTAAATATTTATTAAACTATTGTACATGTTGCTCAAATTCGAGCAAGTGCAAATTATTACATAAGTTATTTAAAAACGAATAAAAGTCATATTTACAATGAGTTTAAAAGAGTCAACTAATGGATTTCCGGTGTAATACTCACAATGTATATAACAATTCGATATAATAAACATTTCCTGTAAATATTTTATCATATTTCATAAGCTGATATTGTTTTTTAGCGTTTTTTACAAACATTTCCTGACCTATAGCCTCATAAGGTTGTCCTTTTTTATTGATAATGTAGCCTGCATGGCTCCACCCTTGTCGCTAGCAGTAAGTTAACAAATTACAGTCATTTTTTAATAAACATAATTTTTTTTCTCATTACCTTAAGGACTTCCTGCATAACCTGTCTGTCACAATTTTATTTGTTAAATTGGTGTTCCTTTGGTTAGTTGCAATAACGTTAATTATTTATATTATTTACCTGAGAAAATGCAGAGTAAAAGGCCCGATGTTGTTCAGTTGGTTTTTTGTTTCCCTTAGCTGTGAATTAAACCCTTCAATGAAAATGTTAGTAAGGTTTTCTTGGATATAGTCACAGGCTATTCTTATAAAATCACTTGACTTTTATGGAAACATAGATTAAATGACCCTGAAGCACCAGACTTATTTAGCCTTAGAGGGATTTCCTTTGCAATGATCACAAAGTCCATTGCCTACTAAAAAGCATGCAAAGTCCATGTTTCCTACTAAAAATTGTAGCACTTCGGCTAACATCCTCGTTCATCGTTTGTAGTAATCTTCATCTTGTAGGTGTTCTTCATTATATAGGCTAATAACGATAATAAATTCATTAAAAAACATTATCTTTATTTCTTCTATTTAGTGGCGTTCTATGACTTTTTGTTTCAAAAGTTTGCTAATCGGTTCTTTCAATGATTGTCATGAAATACAGTACTGTGTCAATTCAATGTTCTTATTATTTGGATAATAAATCAAATTGTGCAGGCTTTCTCACTTTTTCCGTTGTAATATGTACACAAATCTAAATTCAAAGAGTAAATATTTAATTTCAACCAGGTCAGTAAAATTTAATTTTTGTAGGACGCATTTCCTTGAATTGCAACTTAAATATTAACAGCAAATAAATTATTCAGCTGATCAATGTAAACAAATGTTCTTAATAAGGATAACATGGGAACTTTAAAAGCCACTGGGGCAGAGCCCAAGGGACCTTTTTCAAAAAGTTAAGGTCAGATTGCAAATCTATTTGACACACTTAGGGATCTCAATCCTGGGATTTTGGGGTCTCAGCTGATCCCGGGAATAATCCCGGGAATATTTGATGATTTTAACATTTTAAATGAGCATGAATTTCCCTTGTTGAGTCCTCTAATGTTTAGAACTGACCTTAACAGTGCTACACTTTACACTGCGCAATTTAGCCGTTTTCTAAGTAAAGAAATAACTTTCATCAACCGTCTTTCTTATTTATAGTGCATAAATGTTGATATGTCACTCTTGAATTATAAACACATTAAAAAAATTACGAGCAACCGCACTCGCATGTAGTACATGTCACACTAATATGGAAACTAAATAAATCAAAATATAAAGAAAAGAAGATAATATGGGTAGAATCATGAGTTGCAGCGTTAAAATGTTATGTTGACTGACAGCAATAAAAAAATTTAAGGTACTGTGCAAACAATAAACCATCTGCTTATGTAGTAACGGTGTGCGAAAAACTCAATTTAGGATTGTAAAACATTTTAATCACTACACTAAAAACGCCATTCAAAGATATAGACCATAAATAAGCAATCTTAATAATGAAATAATAATGGTGCGTGTATAGTTAATTGTTAGGCCTTTAATGTTATTAAGAAAATAACAATTTAGGCCTAATTACCGATTGCCATGTTATGTTTGCCACAATAATTGTGTTAAATGACAAAAGTAAAACTCAAAATAACGTATAGGTGTACTGTAATTAGCTTCTAACTTCTGTAATAACATGTACAGAAAGTAAATACAATTTGTTTAAAAACATGAAACATAATATATTTACGTTCGCCTATCGCGTTTGATGATAACTAAATTGTCCCATCAAAATAGATCACAGTTTATACTATATTTCTTGTCCTAAAAAAAAACTGTAAATGTGTTTCAAGTGTTAATGGACGTATTTTGTATTTATTTTCTGTAATTAAAACCCCTCAAATTCATAAAAAATAAATATAAACGTAGGTTTTGTAATCCCGGGATTAAAAGACGTAAATCCCGGGATTTCTACGTATCAAAAATCGACCGGGATCCCGGCATTTGGTATCCTGGGATTAGGGATCCCCCCCGGGGTTGAGACACGCTCTTTCCAATGAGAGGTCAATGGTCAAAATTGGTTAAGAAATGGCGAAGGAGTTCAAAGGACAAATTTTGTGTTGGCGTATTAATTATATATATAAATGAATAAATGGGGTAGCGGATTTTTATCCCCAGCTGGAATTTTACCCCCTGGGCAAACAAGACGTCACAAACAAGGTAAAATTCCGGCCGCGAACTTTTGAGTTCCGCGATATCAGTTTGATGGATTAAACGTATATTTACACAACCGTGAAGGTTGTGAATTTAATCAGAATATCAAATTATAAAAACCTAGAGTGTACGGGCCGGAATTTTACCCCCGGAATTTTACCCCCTGGCCAGATATATAAATTAGTGAGAATGGTTAGTTCTCTTCATTCAGTTTTAGTTTAATAGTAAACATTTCATTGTTAAGTAGCCTTTCTTAATTTATTTGTAACATAAACTAATCGAACAGGTTTTTAATTTTAATTTTGAGATTTGAGTACAGTGGAGTCCCGATAATCCGAAAGGCCGCTTAATCCGAAACCAAAAAATGTATTTTTATATTTTTTTTATAAAAAAAAATTAAAAATTTTAAAACTTTTTTAAACATTTTTTAAAATTTTTTAAAATTAAACTTTTAACACAGTTAGCTGTACCTCGTTAAAGTATTCTATAGCGGTCGGGCGAGATAGACTTTTTTGTAGAGTATTTTAGTAAATATTTCACCATTTTTGTTATTAACATTTTTCATTTTCGTCCGCCAAATCACAAATGGATTTTATTAAAGTGATAATGCTGCAGCCACTAGGTCTAGCCTTAAGTAATGTGAAAAACAATCCCGGGCCCGTGCCTGCGTCCTAAGACGAAAAAAAAATTCAAAAAGTAAAAAAAAATTTATGGGCTTGGTCCCAACCATTTCGGACTAACGGGACTCTACTGTATCAGGATTCGATCATTGAAGCCAATTGCTGGTTAATATGATCAAAATTAAACAGTGAATTCTGTTTACTTAGTTGAGATTACAAAATGAAATAAATAAAGATAGGCTACTTAATAATAAAATGTTTACAATTAAATAAAGATAGAAATAAGAAAATCAATCATTCTTAATAATTTCTATATCCGGCCAGGAGGGAAAATTCTGGGGGTAAAAATCCGGGTGTAAAATTCCGGGGGTAAAAATCCGAGGGTAAAAATCCGGCCCGTACATCTTCAGTTGTCTAAACGCTAGTTGTATGGACAGGGGGTAAAATTCCGGTTTTTATTTCTAATCTAAATAAACACGCTCTGTCTATTTTCATTAGACTTCCAAATCCGCGGGGGTAAAATTACTTTTGAGCGCTCAGGTTACTACGTCATTGTGACGTCAGCTTTGCCCAGGGGTTAAAATTCCAGGGGGAAAAAATTCCGGCGACCCAAATGAATAAATAAATAAAAAGGTCTTTTATTGAGCCAGCATAGTATTATTATTCTACGTAGTCATTCTTGACAAAGTCCCCCAGGGGACAGAATATTGTGTCCAGTTTCTCTTCTGCATGTTCTATTTGGCCTACCTACACTTCTTCAAGGTAAGCTAGCTGCTATCCTCCTTTTTCTACAATTCAAAATCCTGGCCTCGAGCCTTTCCTTGAACAAAACTATTTAAACTCTAGGTTTTTTTGGTCAAGGAGCATATACAGGTTGATGAACTCAAGGAGGCCACCATTGGGATATCGGTAAGGTAAGAATTAGAGAAAACTTTAAATGGGGTAGTTAAAAATATGAATTAAGTTTTTAGAAATTCAACCGCCATTTTCCAATATGGTGGCCAACTTTGAAATTTCTTACGGAAAACCCTATGTTTTATTATTTATGTTTTCGGATAGAACATGCAATTAAAAATTTTTTTTATTCTAGACATTTT